AAAATAAGGTGAAAACGACAAAATGGTCTTTTAAATCGTAAAATTTAACTCGTCTGGGGTGTTAGCGCCGCAGGCCTAGCTATATGTGCGCCAGGCGCGTCGCAGCGTAACAGTGTGTCGTGATATATCGCGAAGCTTGTTACGCGAGACGTGGTCTGGCGTACATATAGCTAGTAAAAAGTCAGATCGAGTTCAAAGAAGAGCATTCTAGCTCAAAAATTTTATTGGCTGAGCGATTAGCGAAGCCCATTACTCAACTGACCAGAAAAGTTTCATTCTGTTTGTCTGTCTGTTTGTTTGTCTGTCTGTCTGTCCGCACGATAACTCGAGAATGAACTGAGAGAGCGATCTGGGATTTTCAGGGTCGTTTTGTATCATAAAAAGACAGATCGAGTTCGAAGATGAGCATTCTAGCTCAAAAATTGACTTTTAAAAAAATCAAAAACTAAAGGTTGCAAAATATTAATTTTTTTCAAATATTCTTTTATGGGCTCCTAAGAGGTAACTCGTGAAAGTAGAACCCTTTGGGCGAAAATTTCGTCCGTTTTGCTCTATCTTGTACCGTTTTGGCGCTATGGCTCATTTCTTGGCGAAAACAAGGTGAAAAAGACCAAATGGTCTAATAAATCGTAAAAAAGACTCCATGGCACAGAACTGAAAAGGGAACAATACTTAAACCACACATTGAGGGACGAACCACACCCTCTTTTGGGCTTAAGCGTCCCTAGATTATCTAGTATCACTAAAACGTTGATTTTTACATAACAATCTGTGAAAATTCGAACTTTTAATGAAAATTGTCACGGAACAGCAGAAGTTTTATGTCCCTAATTTTAGAGTAAAAAGACCTCGACAAATGGTTCCAGTATGTCAAATTTTGGGCCCGGAAGGCCCTGTTCTCCTATACCGTCTCCTTTGCTCGTCTCGGGTGTCAGCGCCGCAGGCCTAGCTATATGTGCGCCAGGCGCGTCGCAGCGTAACACTGTTTCGTGAGATACCGCGACCGCGAAGCCTGTTACGCGAGACGTGGTCTGGCGTACATTTAGCTAGTTTAAAATCAACGTTTTAGTGATACTAGATAATCTAGGGACCCTTCAGCCCAAAGGAGGGTGTAGTTCGACGCCTAATGTGTGGTTTAAGTATTACTCCCTTAACAATTTTTTACATGAAGCCTTTTTTACGATTTAATAGACCATTTTGTCTTTTTCACGATGTTTTCGCCAATAAATGCCCCCTAGCACCCAAACGGTACTAGATAGAGCAAAAGAGACGAAATTTTCGTCTAAAGGGTTCTACTTTTACGAGTTACCCCTTAGGAGACCATATTTGAAAAAAAATATTATCTAAGAGTATCAGAGCAACTAACCTACCTGTCGCGTGGGTCATCTCGACTCCATCAGCCCTCGGAGGGTAGGATCCGGAGCGTTCTTCAGTCTTCCTCGTCCCGGTGTTGAGCATTCCCAGCGAATGCGTCTATGGCCAGCATTGTGGTCACGTGACCAGGCTGCAGGGACGCCATAACTAGCGGAGACTGTCCGGTTCCATACTCCGCCTCTAGCATGTCAAGGTATTTGCCCGGGATTACATCTTTAGTCTTGGTATAGATGCTCTCCAAAACCTTGAGGAGTCTTTCAAAAGTCTCGTTGTCGGACTTGGCATAATTGGCAAATGAGGGGAAGTCCCTTATCGCAAGCATCTGGGCGAAGGCAGCCAAGAGTCTCATTTTATTACGTTGAAGCTCTGGGATTTCATCTGAGGGATAAAGCATTCTTGCATATATGGCAAGCTCCCCCAGAGACTGAAGCCTGGCGATGGCGGCAAAGACTGCCGGTGCTTCTCATCTAGCCGGTCCACTTGCAAGAATTGCAGAGACCTCGTTTATGATGTAGCGTTCGATTAGAAGTACATGGGTCACGTCGACATTTGCAAACAAGACTAGCAGCACCTCCGCAAGTTTCTTGTGGACTCCTTCTTTTTTGGAACGCCCCCATGTCATTGCCAGTCGCAGAGCAGCACGTCTGAATGGCATCCTGTTGCCCAGGCGTCTGTTCACATGTTCGCAGACAGGTTGAGGTGGAATATTCTTGATCAGCCATTGCTCTTCACCCTCTAGGACTGCCGAAAAAAAATATTTTGCGACCTGTGGTTTTCAATTTTTAAAAAGTCAATTTATGAGCAAG